ATGTTTACAAACATCCATGTGATAGCTACAAAATCCAGTTGGAGACTGACTTAGTTACAGGGAATAAAGTAGTCCCCTCCTCACACAGTCTACGACCCCCTGTGGATGCCTGAAACCTTAGATAGTACCAAACCACATATACTGCATACTATGTTTTTCCTGTACATACATATATATGATAACGTTTAATTTATAAATTTTGCAATTTCACAGATGTAAGATTGACTCTTACCTTAGCAATCTCAGGATATGATTTCTTTTTTCTCATTAAGTTGAGAACTTTCACTTTTTCACTTAAAGGGGACACTTTACGGCTTCTCTCTGGCATATCTGAATTGCCAGCATCACTACCCTTGTGCTTTGGGGCCAGTATTATGTAAAATAAGGGTGACTTGAATACAAGCACTGCAATACTGTGGCAGTCAATCTGGTAACAGACAGCTACCACGTGACTAATGGGCAGGAGTATATACAGCGTGAAGAGGCTGGACAAAAGGATGATTCATGTCCTGCATGGGATGGAGGTGGATGGAGAGATTTCATTATGATACTCAGAATGACACGCAATTTAGAACTTATGAATTGTTCATTTCTGAAATTCTCCATTTAATATTTTCACACCACAGTTGACCATGGGTAACTGAAACCATGGGAAGTAAAATTGTGGATAAGGCAGCTCTGTGGTGACTAGACTACACCTTATTTCAATTATAAAACAGAATTTAAGCTGTAATAATAGAGTCTATAGTAATAGTAATAATAATAACAACGTCATACATATAAAAAGCACTTACTACATACCAGGTCATATATTAAGCATTTTATATACTATAATCATCTCACTTAGTTTTTTCATTAATACTCCATATCTCCATATTACAAATGCAAAAATTGAGTCCAGCCGGTGTGGCTCAGTGGTTGAGCATCTACCCATGCACCACGAGGTCGCTGGTTTGATTACCAGTCAGGACACATACCCAGGTTGTGGGCCCGATTCCCAGTGGGGGGCATGTAGGAGGCAATCAATCGATGTTCTCTCTCATCGATGTTTCTATCTCTTCCTCTCACTTCCTCTCTAAAAATCAATAAAGGAAAAAAATGCAAAAATCCAGGTTTGAGGAGTTTTTAAGTAACCACCCCATAGTCATGCAGCTGGAAAGTGTTAGGGTCTGGATTTTGGGCCTAGTAGTCTGATTCCAGGGACAGTCCTCTATGGATGCACAGTAGAATATCCTAGGCAACTTTGAAAACATCTCCCTCCCACTTCCAGAGATTCATATTTAATTGTTCTGGAGTGGGGCCTGGATGTGTTATTATTTTAAGTTCTCTAGGGCATTTTAATGTGCAGAAAGAATTGAGAACTACTATAAAATAATGACTGTATTGTAATGTCTAAGATTATATAGTAGAACAATTCGTTTCAAATATATTATTTAGTGAGATTAAAAAAATAAATAAATAACTGAGCTGCCTTTCTGGGAAAAAGAAAGCCTTCAGTGCAAACTCAGATTTTTATATGAAAAATATCGGTACTGATTAAGTAGCGACAGCTATGTACACATTTTTTCAAGAGAGAGTAATTTAAGTGCATCATCTGTCCTCCTTCCCACCAGGACCTTGGTCAGCCTCAGAAGGCCAATGACCACTTTGACACTACTGCTCTCCACAGGGCCTGTCATCAACCTTTGCTCATACTTCAGATCTAACATCTGTTGCTGTGCTGCTAAAGCCAAAGCCCTTGCCTTGGCTTCATTAGTCAGTGGCAATTTGAGCTCCACATCCAGTACCTAAAGGAGCTCACACTGCAAATACAGAACTAGGTTTTCCTTCTTTAAATACTAAGGGAAGCAAAAGCATTGTCAACTGCACTGGTCATTTATGTCCTTGTCCTTATTATCCAGGATGGATTTGGGAGACATGAGACATAAAGCTGTAGTTATGGACTTCACTAAACAGAGTAAAATAAATGGGCAACACATTCCTAGTAGTTCAAATTTAGTGACTCAAGAGAATTAGAAAAAAGGCATTTCACTGATAATGTCAAATATGCATTGCAGTCAAATGGTTCTCTCAAAGAAACATCATCAATATGCTCAAAAACTTTAGTCACCATTATGCTTCTATTGCACATTAGAAGGCAAGGCAAGTAGAAATAAATGTAAGGAAACGTACCAAAGTCAGAGATTTTAACAATTATATATATAAAAAAATCTGGACTTAGATAAGGAGAAACTTTATTCAAAACAGTATTGAAATAGGGAAAATGCAATGACTTTAGGATCTGAACACTTCTCACAAACTTAAAAATGTCTTTCTTGTATAAGGGATAAGCTAGGCTAGCAGGAGCTATTGAAGGGAAACTGGGCAAATGAGTGGGAGGGAACAGATAGCACGATCCAGGCTGTCTGTTTCTTACTCTGGTTAGCTAATTCTCAGGGTGAGATATTAAGGAGGCATGTTCTGCATTTTAATGTTTAATCAAACTTGAAGGCAAGCCAAAATTCAGAGAAAATCTGTCTAAAGGTTAGTTAAGCAAAGGCAGAGGATAGGTAATGGGCAATAGTGAATACTTGGTCACAGCTTTACCATTTAATACTTCTTTTTTTTTTTTTTTTTTTTTATCCTCACCCGAGGACATTTTTCCATTTTCTGTTCAGGTAGAGTGGGAGGGAGAGAGAAGAACAGAGAGAGAGAGAAACACCAACGTGAAAGGAACACATCGAGTGGCTGCCACCCGCACAACCGACCAGGGCCGGGGACAAACTGCAACCGAGGTACGTGCCCTTAGCGGGAACCAAACCCGGGTTTCTCAGGACCGCAGGCCGACGCTCTAACCGCTGAGCCAAACCGGCCAGGGCTAATACTTAATTCTTTAGGGGTTAATGATCAAAACAATGGAACGCAGGATAAAATTCCAGGTTATATTGTAATACATAGCTTTTGGGAGTGTAGTGGTTTCCAAATCATCTGAGAAATGGAAAGTTTTGCTGAGTAAATATTTTGCATACCAAATTTTGATATTATTTTCAGACTGAAAGTTAAAGTTTTAAAAGAAGAGCATAACCTACATTTTAATTGGTAACATGTTACTGTATTACATGCATACAGATATAATAAAGTTAAAAAGATGCCTTCCAAAATTAAATTTCATACTGGAAAAGTTTGCTATTGGGATGATTAGGTGACTATATGAAGAACAGTCCCTTTCTACAGCATTCTAAATGAAATATAATGTTAACAAACAGACTTATTCTGGAATACTGATGTAGTTAAGTAGATTTAAATAATTTATTGGAAGGAAGACAAAGGGAATCATACTTGTTCCTTGGACAATATACATTAATCCTGCAATATATAACATAACTAGACAATAATATTTTTAAAGTTCAGAACAACTGTGATAAATCATAAAATAAAACTGTTTCCTATTGAAAGCAGAACTAAATGGTTGCCAAAGATGACATGGCATACTGCAATAATATCCATACATAGTGCAAAATATGTCCTATATGGGTGGGAAAAGGTAAGCCATAAACATAGCCCCATCACAGTGTGGAGGAAAGTTTGCATACAAGCAGCATGATCAAGAGGGTGAACTCAGAAAGTCCTAGGATGGCACCAACAGCAATTGATCTTTATAGCTACACATTAACCTTTGAAAGAACGTGAGCTTAAAATGAATGAACAATCAAGAAAGCTGCCCTGGCTGGTTTGGCTCAGCGGTTAGAGCGTCGGCCTGCAGTCTGGAGAGACCGGGGTTCGGTTCCCGCTAAGGGCACGTACCTCGGTTGCAGTTTGTCCCCGGCCCTGGTTGGTCGTGCGGGTGGCAGCCACTCGATGTGTCCCTTCACATCGATGTTTCTCTCCTCTCTCTCTGTTCCTCTCTCTCCCTCCCACTCTACCTGAACAAAAAATGGAAAAATGTCCTCGGGTGAGGATAAAAAAAATAAATTAAAAAAAAAAAAAAAGAAAGCTAACAAAAAACTGTTTTTTCTCATTCTGTAACTTACTGTTGGAGGGTAGTGACATCATTGGGGATGTGTCTGATTTCCCAAACATCTAGAGTTTAAATCGTCAGCTTTCCAAATGGACATGTGTGGATATGAAAAGTCTTTTAGAATGAATAAGAAGGCAAGAAGTCAGTGAGCTAAACGAGAATGACGAAATAAACTGAGGACAATGTAAGGGCAGTAACATGACATAGAGAAGACTCAATGGAGGTGGACAAGCTGGGTGTCTGTTCTAGTATTGCCATTGACTAGCTACTTAGATTCAGGCAAATTTACTTAATTTATTTACTTAATATCAGTTCCAATTTCCTCCTACGAAAAGTGAAATAAACAATGCCTTCTGACAAGAAAAATAAATTCTGAGGTTTTCTAAACTAAAATTACAGCAGCCAGAGAATGAAAGAAAGAGAAAGAACAGAGCCTGTTGAAAGCTGTGGACCAGCTCTGACAAAAGACTGCTCACATTCCTGTGTATCTGCTGGGATTTAAGATTCATTTCTAGTTGGCTATTTCCATGATTATCCAAAAGAGAGAACAGTCAGGTGCCTTAGAACCAGGAGCCTCTGCTTATTCACACACAAACTTCCCAATATGCTGCCCACAGCTGATCCACGGGGAGGACACTTCTTCCTTGCAGTCTGCTTCCCCGATCCCAGAACTGGCCCATCCCCTGTCTCTATAGCTAATGCAAATCCTTTCAGAGGGGCTTACATATTTCTTTCCTAGTCTACTTGATATATAAAAAAACACTTGCAAAAGTCTGGGGCCATTGGCATGTTGTCTTTTCTACCCAGCCACACTGCTAGGGGTTTAGACTTCATGCCCAAGACCGATCTTATTTCTTTTGCTAGCAATGGCCTAATAACACCTTGTAAATAATCATGAAAAATGTTTGGCCATACACTGTTGAAACTGGATAAAGGAACAGGGGAGGTGTATTGTTAGTTTTATCTATATAATTGTGTGTGTGTGTGTGTGTGTGTGTTTTCTGGGGGAAGAGTGTGAATGCAGTCCCCCACTACCACAAATTGTGCAGTTGAGTTTATTTGGGGGAAATCGCAGGGGTCAGCACATCCAGAGTGCAGTGCATAAGCCTCACTCTGGGAAAACTGCCTTTGTGATTGTGGTATCTCCTCTTCCAGGTTAAGTATAATTGTATATATTTTATACTTTCTATAATAAAATATTTTTAATCCCTGTATCTTAAGAAGCAGAATGATAATAAAGATATGGTGAAGATTACATGAGGTAACACATATTAGGAACCTAACCCTTTGCCTGGTACTTACCAGACACTTAAGACATCCATTTAAATGAAGTGGGACCATTCTTGGGAGGCAGGCTTCCCAAACTTCCATGAGCATACAAGTCACCTGGGAACCTTGTGAAATGCAGAGTCTGACAAAAAAGGTCTAGAAGGACCAAGACTTGAGAGCACCAATGAAAACAAAGGCTGAAAACTTGGGCTTGGGCCTACAGTGGAGAATTTGGCAACTGAATGGGCATGTGACAGGTATAGATATTGTACTAGAAAACCAAAAGGTACGAATTTTGCTTATTTTTCCTTTTTTAAAAAATGTTTTTTAAATTATAGTTGACATACAGTATAATAATAGTTTCAGATGTACAAAATAGTGATTAGACATTTATATAACTTACAAAGTGATCAACTCGATAAGTCTAGTACCCACCTGGCATCACACATAGTTATTATAATATTATTGACTATGTTCCTTATACTGTACTTTACATCCCTGAGACTGTTTTGTAACTGCCAATCTGTACTTCTTAATCCCTTTGCCCTTTTCACCATCTCCCTACCCCCTCCCACCTGGCAACCATGAGTTTGTTTTTGCTTTGTTTTGTTGGTTCATTTATTTTGTTTTTTAGATTCTCAAATCCAGCTTTGAAGAGGGATTGTAACTTGTTTTAGTGTCCTGCAATCTTAAAACAATATTAAAATGGCACGCTTGAGAGATTATTCTGGAGATATCTTTAAGCAGGCAGTCTATTTATAAATAGGTCATGTGAAAAATATTCCAAAAGGATATAAGTATCTTAGATAAGAAATGAAATGTTGGAAAATAAAAATTAAATAGAAAATAATATAGAAATAATTTATGTTTCCAAGGTCACATTACTCCTAGCTTCATTACCTTCTTCCTGAATTGATATTGGTTAGTAATATAATTCATTTGGCTTCCTAGAATTTCATTAATTATGATACACAGTTATCTTCAGTTCAGTTACTCCAGGAAATAAATAATGTTTTAATATAATTTGCATATAGTACATTTCCTAAGCAGCAATGTGTTTTGCAGGGAACAAGACATTTTTTTAAGTACAAATACAGCTGAGTGATCAATGCTAATAATGGAACATTTTCTACAGTAATTAGAGTAGTGGACAAATGCATCAGCTCAACAAAGCAGAGGCTTAAGAAAATAATAAATCATTATTTTAGGTTTATTTGAATGGTCTTGGGATCCTTATTTTAATTAAAATTTTAGTTATTTTCTCCAAAAATATAATATTTATTAAAAATTAGACTTAGTGATGATAAAATTATCATAATTTTCAGTGTTTCTGTGTGTGGCTAAATGAAACCTGAATTGGATGATACCCATCATGCCCATGCAAATGAGTATCAAACCATGAGAGTCTACTTAAAAGGAGCAAACTGTTATGTGCCAAAATATCCTTCTTTAATATAAATTGCAAACAGTATGCCAGCCATTGATTCACCAAATTTTATTAGGATATCAATAAATTAGTCTCCATTCAATTCCATCTATTTCTACATCTTACACAAAAGGTGTATCATTACCATTTCCTTAAAAATTACTTTATCTAACCCATTCATTTTCAACATGTTCTCTTATTTTATAAGAACACTTAAAACTAATTCTGGTTTTGTTTATGGAAAAAAAGTTATTCGGGAGACTATAATCTGTAGTTTAATGTAATTGTTTTTCTCTACTTTTCTTGAAATAAAATCAGACAAGGAAAGAATGCAAATGCAATAAAGGACTATTGTAGGTTTTAAGATGAATAAGTTCTGGGGATGTAATATACAACCTAGTGACTACAGTTAACAATACTTTAGTGTATATTTGAAAGTTGCTAGGAGAATTGGTGTTAAATGTTCTCAGCATACACACACACACACACACACATACAACACACACACATACACACAATGTTAGATGTGGCAGCTAACTTACTGTGGTAATTATTTCACAATATATACATATATCAAGTCATCACACTGTACACCTTAAATATACACAATGATATATATCAGTTATATCTCAGTCAAGCTGGAAAAAAGAAAGTCCTTAATTTCCAAGTCTAGATATTGTGACAAGAGAAATAAAATTTTCTAAAACATCGCAGACACTTGTTATTGTGAGCTGTCCTTATAGTCACCTGTACCAGTTCTTTCTCGTTCTTAATTTCATTTATTTATTATTTTTTTAAATTAATTTTTCTACCATATTTTTAGTATACATGATTAACTGTAATTATATTTTCCTAGGAGAAACTATGAAACACTCACAGAAAATATTTTGTTTCTTTTGTGTATTCTGTTAATTTCATTCCTCAAATAGTACAGTTACATGCAACTTTTTAAGACCAACTATTAATGACCCAGAAAAGAGGGACACAAAACTGAATTGGCAAGAAAGGTCTAATCCTCACTCTGTAACTAATTAGCTGGGTAACCTTGGACATGTCATGGATGCCCTCTAGATACAAATAAACTCAATCTTCGAGATAATGACCTAGATGGACAATATCCATATTGTCTTACGGATCTTAAATTCTACTTATTCTCTTATCTGGAGCCCACATCCTGCCAAGTTTTTAATTTATTTGTTTGAACTGTGTGGGCAAATTATATGACTTTGAAGACTAGCTAGACAAATGAGAACTAAACTGAAACTATAAAATGTTAAACTGCATATACTAGAAAGAGGCCATTAAGCATTCAAGATGATTACTTGACTTCTTAAAAAATTATACTATTATATGATCAGGGAAGAATAATTGTTATTATGTTAAAAAATAATTTAGCCCTGGCCAGTGGTTGAGCGTCGGCCTGCAGACCAGAGAGTCCCAGGTTCAGTTCCCGCTAGGGGCATGCACCAAAAAAAAAAAAAAAAAAAATTAAATCGAATAATTAATAATAATTAGGTCATAGAGATATGCTGGAAGACACAGTGAGGTTGAAAGACTCAGAAAGACTTGTATGCTTGCACTAAAAAAATGCAGTCATATTAACACAATCTTAATGCCTAAGAGACTGATTATTCAACAGACATTTTGGGAAGGTAATAAATACTTAAATGGAATAACATACAAATGGATTGCTTAATGAAAATATAGCGTGTGCTGTATGACACTATCTCAGTAAATACCCAGAAGCCATGCTTAGACTCTAAAATACACTGTGGCAATGAAATTAATACTTTTCCTCCTCACCATTACCACATTTCTTGGAAAAAGAGTTTCTATTCAAAAATTTGCCACCAATTTGTTCTGGAGGTAAATTAAAATTTGCTTTCTTTCAAGTGTGAATATCACCCAAACCTTCAAGACTGATGTTTACAACCAAATTCATCTTAACAGTTCTCCTGTGTCTCCCTTGTCCTTCTTATTCCTTCCCTCAAGTGCAATATTGTCATCTGTTTTCACTTTTGCTTCTTACATTGTTCTTTCTCTTTCTACCACTAGTAATCAAATATTGGAACTGATATTAAGTAAATAAATTAAGTAAATTAGCCTGAATCTAAGTAGCTAGTCAATGGCAATACCAGAATATAAGCCCAGCCTGTCCACCTCCATTGATTCTTCTCTATGTCATGTTACTGTCCTTACATTGTCCCCAGTTTTATTTCTTTATTCTCGTTTGGCACACAGATTTCTTTCTTTCTTTTTTTTTTTTTAATCCTCACCTGAGGATCTTTTTCTATTTATCTTCAGATAGAGTGGGAGGGAGGGAGGGAGAGAGAGAGAGACATTGATGTGAGAGGGACACATCAACTGGTTGCCTCCCGCACGATATGTACCTTGACCATTTATCTATGGTAAACTGATTTTTTACAATTGTTCCAAGACAATTCAATGTGGAAAGAATATTTTCTTCAACAAATGATGCTAGGATAATTGGATATCAACATACAAACGTATAAAGTTGAACCCTTACTTCCAATTATATACAGAAATGAACTCAAAACGAATCAGAGACTAAATTAAGAGTTAAAATTATAAAATGCACAGGAATAAATTTCATGACTTCTTATGTATAACACAAAAGCACAGGCAAAAAATAGAAAGTAGATTAATTGGATTTCATCAAAATTAAACTTTGGGGCTTTTGTGGGTTTTCTCTAATATTTGAATTTCTACAAATTTCAGTGGGAGTTTACTTACAAAGAGCTTTTCTATAACTCATTTTATTTTTATTTGAAAGTCAAAATAGAATAGCTGAAGTGAAACAAATGGCCTTTCCTTCATAGCTGTGTTAGTAGAAATGTTTCTGTTGTACATATGTAAAGCCATCAAACAGAGGCCTAATTACATGTGGTTCTTAATACACAAAGAAGTTAATGCACTACATTTAATTGGAACAAGAACCAACTAGGTGGGCTTAGAGGTTGATTTGATTACATATTTAAGTGGATAGCTGCATTTTTCAATATACCTACCAATATAATTAAATGCATAAATTAATAGATTCATTTCCATATAAGTATTTGTAATTCAATTGAGAGCAGTATTTCTTTTGACAGCAATATACATTAATTTCATGACTGTTATTTTTTCCTAATATTTTTCTCTAGCAAGACAAAATATATGCAGTAAAAAGTCATATTTTAACAAATTTAGATGTCAAATTAAGTGCAATTATATTTTGATTGACTGATACAACAGCGTGGAATAAAATACTAATATTCCACCCACCCATGTGGCTCAATGGTTGAGAGTCGACCCATGCACTAAGAGGTTCGTCGGTTCGATTCCCGGTCAGGCCGATCCCTAGTGTGGGGCGGGCAGGAGGCAGCTGATCAATGTTTCTATCTTTCCCTCTCCTTTCCTCTCTCTCTAAGATCAATTAAAAAAAAATAGAACAGGCCTCGCCAAGATA